ACACACACACACACACACACACACACACACACACACACCCTGAATGGTTGGCTCTGTGGCTCAAGTTGTAAAATACCAGCCAGTGAGTGAAAGCAAGTGTTGAATACCAAGTTTGAGTCTTGGTCTCAAACATACCTCCAGAAAAGAAAAAGCTGGTTCCCAAATAACTCTCACCCCCAATCCTAGCTACTCCAAAGGCTGAGATCTAAGAATCATGGTTCAAAGCCAGCCCAACAGGAAAGTTTGTGAGACTCTTTATCTCCAATTAATTACAGAAAAAGCTGAAAGTGGACCTAACACTGAAGTGGTAAAGCCCTAGCTTTGTGCCAGAGAAGCCCAGGGACAGCACCCAGGTCCTGAGTTCAAGCCCTAGGACCAGCTTCCCAAAACTCAAACCTCGCTGGGATGGCCTCCCTGTTGAGTTTGTGTGGAAGGTGAAGGTAGCATGTTACCCTTAGGACTGCTGTAAAGAAGGATCCAAGAAGCACAAGAACCTGTTATTAACCAACCAGGGATAATTGGGTGGTGATAGCACAGTTCTAAGGATAGAGACCAAGACTTAACAGCAGCGGGTAAAAAATGGTGCTCTACCATAGAGCTACATGCCTTGAGGAAAGTTGTGTGTGTTTTTTTTTTGGCTGGTCGTGGGGCCTGAACTCTGGGCCTGGGCGCTGTCTCTCAGCTCTTCAGCTCAAGGCGAGTGCTCTACCACTTGGGCCACAGCGCCACTTTTGGCTTTTTCTGCTTATGTGGTGCTGAGGAATTGAACCCAGGGCCTCAGGCATGCAAGGCAAGCACTCTACCACTGAGCCACCTTCCCAGCCCTTGAGGAAAGTTTTATTTTGTCTTGATTAGTTTTAGAGGATTTCACACATGGTAGACTTGCTTTTTTGCTTTTAGGTCTATGGAAAGGTGAAAATCTGGTAGAAAGGCCTAAGAGGAAGAAAGCTGCTCAGTGCATACAGGCAGGAAGCAGAGAGAACTCTGCTTTGAAGAAAGGTACTGACTGCTGTCATTATCTCAATAACCATGACTCATGGACAGCAGTGGCCTCTACAGGCCAACCACATTCATACCCAGGTAGATGCATATTATGTGAATTCTGGTCTGCCAAGATGAAATCTTCAGGATCTTGCTCAGGAGAAAGACCAATCAAAGAAAAGGCAGAAGAGCAGGGCGCTGGTGGCTCACGCCTGTAATCCTAGCTACTCAGGAGGCTGAGATCTGAGGATCACAGTTCAAAGCCAGCCCAGGCAGGAAAGACCGTGAGACTCCTATCTCCAATAAACCATCAGGAAACCGGAAGTGGCGCGGTAGCTCAAGTGGTAGAGCACTCGCTTTGAGCTGAAGAGCTGAAGGACAGAGCCCAGGCCCAGAGTTCAAGCCCCACGGCCGACCAAAAAAAAAGAAAAGAAAAGGCAGAAGAAAAATGAACCCTGACTGAAGCTTGTGATAGGAAGATAGGTACAGTTTAGAGGAATACCAGTTCCTGGGCCTCATCTCCAGATTGTTCCAGAGATTCAAATTACATTTCTGCCTTGGGATGATCTTGGATGTTCTTGTGGCTTGAACTCTGGCCTTCTCTGAAGTTACTTGTGTTTTATTGCCACTGAAGGCTAGGGTTCTCTCAGTTAAGACAAAACATCACTTTTTTTGCTGGGTAACTGGAGATGAGTCTCACAGAAAGCTGGGCACCTGTGGCTCATGCCTGTAATCCTAGCTACTCAGGAGGCTGAGATCTGAGGATCATGGTTCAAAGCCAGCCTGCAGGAAAGTCCCTGAAACTCTTTATCTCCAATGAACCACTAGAAAACTGGAAGTGGCACTGTGGCTCAAGCGGCTTGAGCTGCAGAGATGAGGGATAGTGTCCAAGCCCAGAGTTCAAGCCCCATGACAGACTCCCCCCCCTCCAAAAAAAAGTCACACTTTCCTGCTCAGGCTTTGAACCGAGATCTTCAGTTCTCAGCTTCTTGAGTAGCTAGGATTACAAGCATATGAGCCATCAGTGCCACCCAGCTTCGATGTCTGTTTCTCCGCTGTTCCACTATTGTCACATTTCTCTACCTCATTCTGCAGAATGCTGTGTCACTGTTGTCCACTGAGAGCCATCTACAGTTTTCTCTTCTGGGTCCTGTTTCACACTTTTTCTTCTCAACTTGCATTTTGAGCAGATAACAAGACAAGAGGAATCAAACCCAGGGCCTCATGCACGCAAGTCAAGCACTACCACTGAGCCACCTGTTTGGTTTTTGTTTGTTTTTGGTCGGTCATGGGGCTGGAACTCTGGGCCTGAATGCTATCCCTCAGCTCTTCAGCTCAGGGCTAGAGCTCTACCACTTGAGCCATAGCACCACTTTGGGTTTCTAGTATTTAATTGGAGATAAGATTCCCATGAACTTTCCTGCCTGGGCTGGCTTTGAACCATGATCCTCAGATCTCAGCCTCCTGAGTACCTAGAGTTACAGGCATGAGCCACTGTCACCCATGGCTTTTAAAGAATTAAAGTAGCTTCTTGAACTCAGACACACAAAGCTGTAGCCTGATATTTTGTAGTTTAGTTTCTCTTTATCTTTGATTTGTTCTTTAGATAGAGCTGCCATTGTGGCTCAAGTCAGTGGAAAATAAGAAACTACCTTACTACAACTGTAATATGATGACAGTGGTCGAACATGACCTGTAGTGACTATAAATCTTTAAGATAGTGGTAAAGTGCTTGCAATAAGGTGCAAAATTCTGTTTAGCAACACAACAAAAAGCAAAATACATTTATAAACAAGTAAAAGATTTAGTACTTCAATCTACAGACTGGCCGGTAGGTGATTTTGGCCACACAGTCCAGGTTCCCTTTCGGTTTTCTTGCTTCTTTCACTGGGAAAATGTCTTAGCACGAGCTCTCTAGGACTGGCTTTTCATCTAGCTTTGTGGTCCCTTTTCCAGGTATTTTATGCACGGGGTTTGTAAGGAAGGAGATAACTGTCGCTACTCCCACGACCTCTCTGACAGTCCGTATGGTGTAGTGTGCAAGTATTTTCAACGTGGGTACTGTATTTATGGAGACCGCTGCAGGTAAGAACTTGTTTAGGAATTCATTTTTTTGGTTCAAGGATGGGTTAGGAGAAGAAAGAAATGTAAAAATGCCTAGTTTTATTTTTTGGGGGGTCCGGTCAGGGGGCCTGAACTCTGGGCCTGGGCACTGTCCCTCAGCTCTTCAGCTCAAGGCTAGTGCTCTACCACTTGAGCCACAGCGCTACTGCCAGCTTTTTTCTTTTTGCTTATGTGGTGCTGAGGGATCGAACCCAGGGCCTCATGCATGCAAGGCAAGTGCTCTACCACTGAGCCACCTTCCCAGCCCCTAAAATGCCTAGTTTTATACATAATACCATTAAACTATTTAATACTTTCAAAAGGACTCCTTTCCACCAAGAGGGCTAGATGTGGTGGCATCTGCTTGGCACCTTCCCAGCTCCTGGTGTTTGTTTTTTTTTTTGTTGTCGTTTTCTTTTTGGTCGGTTGTGGGGTTTGAACTCTGGGCTTGGGCGCTGTCCATGCACTCTTCAGCTCAAGGTGAGCGCTTTACCGCTTGAGCCACAGCACCACTTCCGGTTTTCTAGTGGTTTGTTGGAGATAAGAGTCTCACAGACTTTATTGCCCAGGCTGACTTTGAACCAAGATCCTCAGATCTCAGCCTCCTGAGTAGCTAGGATTACAGGCATGAGCCACTGGTGCCTGGCTACTTTTGGTGTTTTATTATAATAATTACTATTTTTGTTTTGTCTTGTTGGTTGTGGGGCTTTGGGCCTGGGCCTGGACACTGTCCCTGAGCTCTTTAGCTCAAGGTGAACACTCTGCCACTTGAGCCACGGGACCACTTCCGGTTTTTTGGAAGTTTATTGGAGAAGAGTCACACGGACTATTTACTGTCCAGGTTGGCTTGAACTGTGATCCTCAGATCTCAGCCTCCTAAATAGCTAGGATTACAGGAGTGAGCCACCAGCGCCCAGCTATTTTTTTAAACAAACTTAATAGTAAATATTGGTGACCTATCATATATATAATCCTAGCTACTAAGGCTGAGATCTGAGTTTGGAGCCAGCCCAAGCAGGCAAGTCTGAGAGACTTTAACCTCCAGATAACCAGCAAAAAGCCAGAACTGGAGATATAGCTCAAATGGTAGAGCACTATCAGCAAGATAGCTGACTAAGAGCACAAGGCCCTGAGTTCAAGCCCTTGTACTGGTATACACACACAAAAGATGAAAAGACAGGAGATACAGTTCAGTGGTAGAGTGTTTGTCTATCATACAGAAGATCCTGAATTCAATCCTCAGTACTACAGGAGGGGAGATGAAGAAAGAGAACTAATATTCTTATATCTTATTCATTTAAAAATATGAATATATATATGTCCCTCCCCCCTTTTTTTTGGTGTTGGTCCTGGGGCTTGAAGTCAGGGCTGTCCCTGAGTTTTTTTTGCTCAAGGCTAGTACAGCTAGTACAGCTCCACTTCTGGTTTTTTGGTGGTTAATTAATTGAAGATAAGAGTCTCATAGAATGATCCCATATCTTGACTGTGGCAAACAATGTTTCAGTCATCATGGTTGTGCGAGTTGTGTGTGTGTGGTGCCATTTGTGTTCTGTTGGATACCCTGTTAGATAGAAAAAAGGATGTTGTACCATTTGTAAGGAAATGGGAAGACTTGGAAACATTGAACAAGAAGAAACATAGGTTGCATGGTTCCCCTCATTTGTAGTAACTAGAATATGCCTATAAATCTACAAGTATACACACTGGCTGGTCAAAAATTACACTGGGGGCTGGGAAGGTGGCTTAGTGGTAGAGTGCTTGCTTGCCTAGCAGGCATGAAGCCCCAGAGTTGGATTCTCCAGTACCCATAAACAGAAAAGCCAGCAGTGGTCCTAGTTCAAGCCCCAGGACTGGGGAGAAAAATACACTGGGATGTGATAAATTATATAGGACTCTAGACAGTCAGTCAGTCACACAGTGAGACCAGAGGAGGATATTCATATGAGAGGATTACAAAGACTAGCTATATGCATATAACGTGAACTCCAAGAAATGGAAACAGATTTTGTTGTTGTTATTATAGTTGCTGTTTTTTTGGTTGTTGTTGTTTGTTTTGTTTTGATTTTTGCCAGTCCTGGGGCTTGAACTCAGGGGCCTGGGCACTGTCCCTGAGTTGCTTTTGCTCAAGGTAGCACTCTTAGTATTTGAGCCACAGTGCTACTTCCAGCATTTTCTGTGTATGTGTTACTGAGGAATTGAACCCAGGGCTTCATGCATACTGGGTAAGCACTCTACTGCTAAGCCACATTCCCAGCCCTGTAGTTGCTGTTTTTGTCTTTTTTGTCTCTGAGAGGATAAGGGTTAAGGACAGAAAAGGTGTGGGACAAAGGTTGAACAAATAAGGCAGTGGTACTGTTAGACACTGGAAAAAACGGTACAATTTGTGGATGGGGACAGCTGGGAAAATCTGGGACAGAGCAAGGAAAAAGGTGACATGGTTCAAAAAGAAATGTATTCATTACCTCACTCCTGTAACTGTCACCCTCTGTGTATCACCCCTACAATGACAATATAATATTTTAAAAACAGACATGGTTTCCTGGCTTTGAACCATGATCCTCAGATCTCACTCAGCCTGCTGAGGAGCAGCTAGGATTACAGGCATGAGCCACTAGTGCCCAGCTATGCTTAATGCTGTGTGTTTTGCTGGTTGTGTGTCTTGAATGCAGTGCCTGGGTGCAGTCTGAGCTTTTTTGCTCAAGGCTAGTGCTCTGCTACTTTGAGCCATAGCTTCTTCCAGTTTTTGAGTAGTTCACTGGAGATGAGAGTCTGAGACTTTCCTGCCCGGGCTGGCTTTGAATTGCAGTACTCATCCCCACCAACATTTGTGGTTGGAATTCATGATGTTGGCCAGTTGAACTGGAGTGAGATGGAATCTCAGCATTGTTTTGATTTGTATTTCCTTTGTCAGTGATGATGAATTTCTTTCTTTTCTTTTTTTTGCCCATCGTGGGGCCTGAACTCTGGGTCCCTCAGCTCTTCAGCTCAAGGCTCTAGTGCTCTACCACTTGAGCCACAGTGCCATTTCCAGCTTTTTCTGCTTATGTTGTGCTGAGAAATCGAACCCAGGGCCTTATGCATGCAAGACAAGCACTCTACCACTGAGCCACCTTCCCAGCCCCCTCATGTATTTCATCTTTGCCGTTTTTACCTCTTCTGAGACTAGTGCAAAGGTTAGAAGCAGTTGTAATCAAGGCTGCTTCCAGGGCTGCTTGTAACATTCTGCCTCAGAGTGCTGAGAGCCAGAGGGGTCAGTTTTTCTGGTATTTTTTTGTTGCTGTTGGTTGTGAGGCTCGAACTCGGGTCTTGGATGCTATCCCTCAGCTCTTCTGCTCAAGGCAAGCACTTTAGCACCACTTTGGTTTTCTGGTGGTTAATTAAAGATGAGAGTCTCAGACTTTCCAGCCGGGGCTGGCTTTGAACCACAATCCTCAGAATCTCATCCTCCATAGCTATCCAGGTGGTGCCATAGTCCTGTTAGATCACCATTCAGCAGTAGACTTCTGTTTAGGACTTGAGGAAAACTTTTCTTCTCTTTTCCTCATTTTAGAAAATGTCTAGGTATATTTATTACTTGGGCACTGTCCCTGAACTTCTGATTTTATGTTTATGTGGTCCTGAGGAATCCAACTCAGGGCTTCATGCACACTAGGCAAGCACTCTACCATTAAGCTACATTCCCAACCTCTACTTTATTGTTTAATGATGCAGTAGATGTGGGCAAGGCTGGTAGGGTCCGAGAGCAGCTGCAGTGCTTTTCTTTTTTTTCTTTTGGCCAGTCTTGGGGCTTGAATTCCAGGCACAGGGTGCTGTTCCTAAGCTTCTTTTGCTTAAGGCTGGTGCTCTACCACAGTATCACTTCCGGCTTTTCTGAGTAGTTTGTTCTAGATAAGTCTCTAAGACTTTTCTGCTTGGGCTGGCTCTTCTAACCACAATCCTCAGACCTCAGTCCTCATGAGTGGGTGAGATTGCAGGCATGAGGCCACTGCCCCACCCAAGTGTTTATTTTTAAATTATTGAAAAATGTCAAAGCCAGACACTGGTGGCTCACACCTATAAATAAGCCTACCTACTTAGGAGGCTGGGGTCTGAGGATCACAGGTTTGAAGTCAACCTTTGAAGGAAAGTCTATAAGACTCTTACCTACAATTCACTAGTACAAAACCACAAGTCTAGAGCTGTGACTCAATTGGTACAGCTCCAGAGTTAAAAAAAAAAAAAAAAACTAGGGGGCTGGGAAGGTGGCTCAGTGGTAGAGCGTTTGCCTTGCATGCCTGAGGCCCTGGGTTCGATTCCTCAGCACCACATAAGCAAAAAGGAAAAAGCTGGAAGTGGCGCTGTGGCTCAAGAGGTAGAGCACTAGCCTTGAGCTGAGGGACAGCACCCAGGCCCAGAGTTCAGGCCCCACGACCGGACCCAAAAAAAATGTAGGCTCTACCCTAAAACAAAACAAACCATGGTCCACAGAACCATGAAATACTCTTTTCCCTCAGGTACTAGGGCTTAAACTTGGCCTCACACTCATTTGGCTTTTTTTGTTGAGAGCTGACACTTGAACCATATTCTCCACTTTCAATTTTTTACTGGTTAATTGGAGACAAGTCCCCAGGTGTCTTCAAACAGAACCTCACATCTTAGTCTGCTGAGTGGGACCATGGTCACAGGTTTGATTCCAACCATATGCTTCATTAGCACTGCTTCACTGCAGTAGCCTCCAGTCACACGCTGCAGCTGACAGCAGTTCAGGCTTACACCGAGCATAATTGATACTCTCAATGTGAGGCTAGAAGAGCTGAGCTTTATCAAAAGCAGCAAGTTGTTTCTTAAAGTAGGGTTCTTCCCTGTTTTGGAGAGAAGTTTAATGTTTGTAGATGAAAAGAATGGGGAGGGCTGGGATGTAGCTCTGTGGCAAAGCGCTTGCCTAGCAAGTGCAATGTCCTGGGTTCGATCCCCAGTACCAAAAAAGAAAAGACAAAAAAATACTGTCAAGAAAAGAATGGGGAGACTGGAGAACGCAAAAATTGAAAGCAGTGATGTGTAGATATGGAAAAGATTAATTCTGTACATTATATAAGTACATTTTTCCTTTTCATGTTGATATAAAATACTCCCCTGTATCAGACTGAGGGAGTATGTGTGCACTAAAGTTTGGAAAGAGTTTACAAACAGCAGAGAAGGGACAGGGAATGTGGCTTAGTGGTAGAGTGCTTGCTTAGCATGCATGAAGCTCTGGGTTCGATTTCTCAGTATCACATACACAGAAAAGGCCGGAAGTGGCCCAGCTAGCCTCGAGCACAGGGACAGGGACAGTGCCCAGGCTCTGAGTTCAAGCCCTCAGGACTGGCAAAATAAAAAAGATAATAAAAAACAAACAGCAGGGAGGAACTATGTATAGTTGGATAGTAAACATACTTCTAATGATTTGCAGATATGAACACAGCAAGCCATTGAAACAGGAAGAAGCGACTGCTACAGATCCGAGCACAGAACCATCTCTAGCTGCTTCAAGTCTCCCTTCTGGAGTTGGACAGCTCACGGAAATGGATACCGGCAAAGCTGAGTCAGGAAACCCAAACCTTGCAGCTGTAGGTGGGGCAGGTCCCGAGGACTGGGTGAATGCCATCGAGTTCGTTCCTGGGCAGCCATACTGCGGCCGGAGTAAGTATTGTCAGAGGAGAAAAGTCCATGAAACACTTATCTCCAATTAACCAACAAAAAGCCAGAAGTGGAGCTAGCCTTGAGTAGGGGGAAAAAAAAAATCCAAGTGAGCTCAAGGCCCTGAGTTCAAGCCCAAAAAACAAATACTAAGGGGGAATGTGGGAACAACCAAGTTTCAATAGACTATGCTGGAGCTGAAGTAAAATTTAGGTTAGGTTGTCAGTTGCCTGTAGTTCTTTTGTATATCCATCTGCCTTGCTTGTTGCGGCCTTGACTGTTCTTCTGTGTTTGCAGCTGCCCCTTCCTGCACTGAAGCACCCCTGCAGGGCTCAGGGGCTGAGGTGGAATCTGAGAAGGAGCAGGCGGCAGTGGAAAGCAAGAAGCAGCTGTGCCCTTATGCTGCGGTGGGAGAGTGCCGCTATGGGGAGAACTGTGTGTATCTCCATGGCGACGCATGTGACATGTGTGGGCTGCAGGTCCTGCACCCCATGGATGCAGCCCAGAGGTCACAGCACATCAAAGTAAGTGCAAGTCCTCTCTGGGCTAATGGGATGGTAGGTCAGGAAGTCATGGTACCCTCTGGGTATGGTGGTGCACACTCTAAATCACAGCACTGGGGAGACGGAGGCAGAGGGTTGCAAGTTGAAAACTAGTCTATGATTAGCACAACTCTGTTCCAAGAAAAAAAAGTCATGTTTTGAGAAACTCAGGCTGTCTTTTTTTTTCCTCCCTCCTACCCAGGCTATTTTTTTTGGGGGGGGGGTTGCTAGTCAGGCTTGAACTCAGGGACTGGATACTATCCCTGAGCTTCTTTGTGCTCAAGGCTAGCACTCTACTACTTGAGCCACAGTGCCACTCTTGGCTTTTTCTGTGGTACTGAGGCATCAAACCATCAGACTATTTTTTTGGTTTGTTGGGTTTTTTTCTTTTGCTGGTCCTGGGACTTGAACTCTGGGCCTGAGCACTGTCCCTGAGCTTCTTTTGCTCGAGGCAAGCATTAAGTCAGCTTAATTAATTAATTAAATTATTAATTAATAATTAAACTTTCCATCTAGAAAACAGAAAATTAACAGTATGAAAACCTTCCTTCAACGTGGTGGACAGCAAAGGTAGAAGTTGCTGTTTAGGGTAGAAAAAAATTTGAGTAATTTTTCAATTCATGAAATTGAGTACTTCTAGTTTGATTTTAGCGTATTGTGGGGTCCTGTTTTCTAGAATTTATTTTTATTATTGTAGAGGTGATACACTCACATACATCAGATAATAAGTACATTTCCTTTAGTACAGTGTCATCCGTTCTCTCATACTCTCCCATTTCTACCCACGAGTTGCACAGTTCACTTCATCATTGTCCAGTCACTTGTGGGATCCTTTTATAGGTGGATTGCACTTGGGTTCACCTGTGAAGAAAGCAGAATGAGTGGTGTGTTTGTGTGCATATGTGCGGGTACACCAGTAGCAGTACTTGAACTCTGGGCCTGGGCATTGTCCCTCTGCTCTTCAGCTCAGGGCTAGCTTTCTACCACTTGAGCCACAGCACCACTTCCATGGACTTTCCTACCCGGGCTGGCTTTGAACCTCTGTCCTCAGATCTCAGCCTTCTGAGTAACTTAAGATTACAGGCATGAGTCACCTGTGCCCAGCAGAGTCTCACTTTTCTACTCACTCAGTCTCCTGAGTAGCTAGATTACAGGCATGAGCCCACTGATCCCAGCCAGAAAGTAGAGGTTTTTGTGAGGAGTAAGGCTGGGAATGGAGGGTTTAGTACCTATTCCAGAGCTTGTGTCCCTGAGCTTTTCCACTCAAGGCTGAAACTCTACCACTTGTCATACTTCATGTCTTACCTTTTGCAGGATAATAGATTAGATTCTCACAGACTTTCCTCTCCAGGCTGGCTTTGATCCTCATATTTTAGTCTCTTGAGTATCTAAGATTACAGGTGGTCCCCCTGTGAGAAAGCAGATAATTAAGTGAGATCAGGAGCAGAGTCCTTTGAGGCATTGAAGTCTCAGGATTGCAGATACCTGACAGTGCATCTTCTCACCTTTCCTGCAGTCCTGCATTGAGGCCCACGAGAAGGACATGGAGCTCTCGTTCGCCGTGCAGCGCAGTAAGGACATGGTGTGTGGCGTCTGTATGGAAGTGGTCTATGAGAAGGCCAATCCCAGTGAGCGCCGTTTTGGCATCCTCTCCAACTGCAACCACACCTACTGTCTCAAATGCATTCGCAAGTGGAGGAGTGCTAAGCAATTTGAGAGCAAGATCATAAAGTGAGACTCCTCTCCAACCTTCATCTGTGCTTTCTCTTTGGGGGAAGAATTTATAGTATTGGTGCCAACTTCCAGCCAGGTGGACTTCATTTGAATGCATGCATTTGACCTTAAACCTGAGGAACTTGAATCCTTGTATTTCAGCTACCTGCTAGGTTAGTCAGTCTTACCTATCTAGTTTTCTTTAAGGAATTTCATGCTTTTTCTGAGGAGATTGTTAAACGAAGTAGCCAGTTTGTTTACGCTCTATGAACAAGCCTTATGTCGCTCTGAATGTATGTTAACTCACGTTTTTAGGTTTCTTTTCCTATTCTATCCATTAAGCTAGCCAGTATAGTCCACCATCCTTTATTAAAGATTGTTCTCCTAACTGAACAAAAACTACATAGAGCAAAGTTACAAGAAAATAAATTTATTTAAAATGAAAGAAAAAGTCTGTGTGAAATGTCTTTTTTTGCTTAAACCAGGTTTTTTTCTTTTTTCTTCCCAATGAGCTAGCTAGCCGTTGGGTTGGATTTGTAAAGCAGTTTGTCTTGCCTCTAGAGAAGGGACAGCAGGTGCCAGCGGAACCTTTTCAGGAAGTGTCCTGGGCCTCTCAGCTCCATCTCCTGGCTGGAGGCAGCATGGGGTCTGGGGAGGTGTGTTAAAGTGCGTGCACTGCAGCCTGTTCCTTGTCTCCCAGGTCCTGCCCCGAATGCCGCATCACATCTAACTTTGTCATTCCAAGTGAGTACTGGGTGGAGGAGAAAGAAGAAAAGCAGAAACTCATTCAGAAGTACAAGGAGGCCATGAGGTATGAGCACCTTGCGAGAAGGGCTGTGTGGAGCAGTGCCTTCTTCCTACACTTCACTTCCCAGTACTGTTTGCATTTTCACCCCTCATGGCTCTGTCTCTGCCTATGATGCAATCTTGGGGTTACATTCCAAGGGACATGAAATGAGTCTGCTACTGGTAGTTAAACCTGGGGAGTTTCTGCTTGGTTCTGGGTCCATGTTAACATCTGTCCTCTTATTATCTTGGTGTGTTGTCTTTCTAGAATATTTTCACTCTTCCTGACTATTTCTAGTCAGTTTTGCCCATCAGTACACGTTTCTATTAAGCCACACTGAGGAGCGCTGTGAGGTGTGCCTCAGCCTCCAGAGATTGCACACAATCTGTTCCACGCCTGAAGCCCACTGTGAACAAGGTGTGCACTATTTTCCTTTCCAGCAACAAGGCATGTAGGTATTTCGATGAAGGACGCGGGAGCTGCCCATTTGGGGGTAATTGTTTCTACAAGCATGCGTACCCCGATGGCCGGAGAGAAGAGCCGCAGAGACAGAAAGTGGGAGCCTCGAGGCGATACCGGGTAACTGATTTTCTCATGAGGGGAAAATATACACGCTAGTTGTACACATTATGTTATAGGGGAAACAACACATAGGACTAAGTTTAAGGAGGAAACAAGCCTTGGAGAACTTATTGGGTGGGGTGGGGGGCGGGGGAGGGGGAGGAGACAGGACACCCAAGTGCTGAGGACCTTAGCCTGATTGACAGCAGGTGGCTGGAGGGGAGATGGAGATGGGACCAGAAATGAGAACTCTTCGGATGCTGTAGATGGCTTGTGTTACAAGCCACTGGCTAGAAGACACCACCGCCATGCAGTGCCATCCCCTATCAAGGGCCTTGTCTTTTACAGGCCCAACGAAGGAACCACTTCTGGGAGCTCATTGAGGAAAGAGAGAACAGCAGCCCCTTTGAAGACGAAGAGGAGGTTGTCACCTTTGAGCTGGGCGAGATGTTGCTTATGCTTCTGGCTGCAGGTGGGGACGACGAGTTGACAGACTCTGAGGATGAGTGGGACTTGTTTCACGATGAGCTGGAAGATTTTTATGACTTGGACTTATAGCAGCTTTTGCGTGCTGTGAGAACTGCTCTGCCAGGCCTCAGACCATAGCTGTCCCCTGTGCTGTGTGGCGCTGCGTGTGGCTCTCCCAGGCAGGCTTCTAAACTCCAGGTGCTGTAGTGATCATTACCTAGGGCCTGCTCCTCCACCCCTCACCTTTCCCCCCCAACAGTGTGTCGTTTTTTTCTGTTTCAAAAAGTTACAAAAATAAATCTTAAAGTTAGTGGGTTTTTTTTTTTCTTTTTGGTAACATGACTATAACTGTCAGACAGTGTAGGTTTGTTGCGTCTTCTGTTTTGAGGCAGATTGTGTTGATGGACTTTTCCACACCCTGGGTTGAAACAAGTTCAAAACCGCTGTGCTTTGGGGTCCAGGGACCTGAGCTGGCATTAGCTTTCTGTTTTGGACATGGACACAGAAGGTGATTCTTGAGGTTTCTAGTGAAGTCTGCATGTCTGTTTTTTTTCCTCTCTGTCCCCAACCTGGCAAATCCCCACCACAAAGCCTGTCCTGTGGTTTTGGTCTCTTGTTTAATGACACACAAGGAAAATCATGAAAGAAAGGTGAGGTGGAGGACCATCGGTGAAGGCCCCCGTGGCCTAGTGTGGGAGGGGGATGGGCGCTGCTCCCATCCCCACAGATCCAGTGTTAGCCATAGAGGCTCAACATGGGCTAGTGGTTTCATTTCAGCCTTGTGTGGCAGGTGGGACTACACAGTGTGTCTGTAGTGCTAGCTCTGTCTGTCTGTCCTATCATTGAGAAATGAGACTCAACATAAGAGGCCAAACAACCTGCCTAACTCATACAGCAGAGCAGTTCAAGCTGGGTCTTGGATGCACCATCTTAATTTAAATGTTTGTGGTCTACCTTTTCTGGTCCAAGCATTGTGGAAGAACCCTTGTCCTCACGTGAGGAGTTCTGTTGTCAGGTTTTGGTGTTTGTTTCCTGTGGGTGTTTGCCTCCCACCCCTGAGTTTCGCAGGTAGACTGTTTTCTAAGGTGTTTACTGTAGTGGAGTAATGGACTTGCAGTCATAAGTCACTCTTCGCCACGAAAGGGGGAGGGCATGGAGATCCACGGGACAGGATAAAGTTAAGTTGTTAGAATTCCTTGGTGGGAAATTTTACCTTTGCATTTTTGTTGCTGTTTCCTAAAAATAACTTGGGAGATGGTCCTGACGTGTCCATCCTCTGCTTCTAACCTGGGCTCCCACCCATTCTTTCACCTTAAGAGAAAAGAAAAATGAAGTCATTGTTGCAGAGGTCTCTGTATTTTGCAGCTGCCCTTTTGTAAGAAGCACTTTTCCCAAATAAAACAATTTAAAAAAAGGCTGGCGTTGTGTGTTGTGAAATGAGCTATTCTGAAGCATGCAGATCTGAAGGACAACTACTGGTTCCTACACCTGGGGTAGAGGCTGGCTGGGGCAAGAGGCTTCTTTACACACACGGAATCTGCTAGAAACTGTACAAGAAGCCATGCATGGTAGTGCATGCCTATAATCCTAGCTACTCAGGAGACAGAACTGAAGCTCTGAGTTTGAAGTCAGGAAAGTTAGTGAGATTCTTAATCAGGAATGAAGCACCAAAAAAAAGGCTGTGGCTCAAGTGGTAGAGTCCTAGACTTGAGCTGAAAAGCTGAGGCACAAGTGCCCGGGTGCCTGAGTTCAAGCCCCAATACCAGCACAAAAAAGAAGTAGGAAGGAATGCTGCTTAGAGACATAGGGGAACAAGCAGGACCAGCTGGAACCACCCAGCTTTTTGCTTATTGCAGGGTCCACAAGACTTCTGGCTGGGAAAGACACCACTCATGGCCATGCACATCTGCTGAACCTGCCCCCAGTGCCCAGAAAGAAAGCCGTAGAACTGGCATTTTGAAAGTGTGTGTGTGTGTGTGTTTAATGAAAACCATCTTTTGACTCATGTGTGTAACTCTCAGATGGGGATGTGTATGTGCACGCATGCAAGACCCCAATACTGGGTCTTGAACTCAAGGCCTTTGATCCTTTTTCGGTGTGGGGGGGGCAATCCTTGGGCTTGAACTCTGGGACTGACACTGTCCTGAGCTTCTTTTGCTCCAGGCTAGCACTCTACCACTTAAACCACAGCGCCATTTCTGGTCTTTTCTGTGTATGTGGTACTGAGGAATCAAACCCAGGGTCTCATGCATGCTAGGGAAGCACATTACCAGGCTTGGATGGCACTTTTTGCAAGTTCTTTCTGATGCATGCACACACACATGCCTGCCTTTGACCTTTTTTTCTTTTGGTTGGTCATGGGACTTGAACTCGGCTTGGGAACTGTCCCTGTGCTCTTCAGCTCAAGGCGAGTGCTCCACCACTTGAGCCACAGTGCCACTTCGAGTTTGCTACTGGTTTATCGGAGATAAGACTGGGACTTTCTTGCCCGGGCTGGCTTTGAACTGTGATTCTCAAATCTCAGCCTCCTGAATAGCTAGGATTACAGGCCTGAGCCACTGGTGCCTGGTTTTTTCTTTTTTTGGGGGGTGGTAGTGGTCATGGGCTTGAACTCTGGGCCTGGGCGCTGTCCCTGAGCTCTTCAGCTCAAGGCTAGCGCTTTACCATTTGAGCCACAATACCATTTCCTGACCTTTTACTCAAGTCTAGCGCTCTACCACTTGAGGAACAGGCTTTCTGAGTAGCTAGGATTACAGGCATGAGCCACCAGTGCCATCTGCTTCTGACTTTTTGGTGGAATCTCAGTACTGCTGGGTGCTGGTGGCTGAGATCTGAGGATTGAGGGTCCAAAATAGGCCAGGCAGGACTTTTGTCAGTTGTGGGGCCTGAAATTGGCCTGGGCGCTGTCCCTCAGCTCTTCAGCTCAAGGCTAGCACTCTACCACTTGCCACAGTGCCACTTAGAGCTTTTTCTGCTTCTGTGGTGCTGAGGAATTAAACCCAGGGCCTCATGCATGAGAGGCAAGCACTCACCACCTTCCCAGGCCAAGACTATGAAGACTCATCTCCAATTAGCCACCAGAAAAAGACAAGTGGTACTGTGGCTCAAGTGGTAGAGTGCTGGCCTTGAGTGAAAAAGCTCCAGGACAGCACCCAGAAAAAAAAGAATATCACAACTTTCCTAAGTAGCTAGGATAACAGACGGAGTCTGGGAACCCAGCTAAGAAAAGCTCTGTGTGTGTGTGTGTGTGTGTGTGTGTGTGTGCGCGCGCGCGCGCTCACACTGGTGCATGAGTAATGGTCTATGATCACAAATTGGTTACTGGACATGGCAAGTGTTGGTATCGCTCTCTTTTTTTTGTCAGTTGTGGGGCTTGAACTCTAGGCTTGGGTGCTGTTCTTGTGCTCTTCAGTGCCACTTCCGGTTTTCTAGTGGTTTATTGGGGATAAGAGTCCCATGGATTTTTCCTGCCTGGGCTGGCTTTGAACCGCGATCATCAGATCTCAGCTTCCTGAGTAGCTAGGATTACAGGCATGAACCACCTGGGGCCCGGCTTAAGTGTTGGTGTCTCTGGAACTTTGATCTTTAAAGATAGCCAAGGTTCCTCCACACTAACACCAAAAGCGTTGAATCTTGGGAATGCTAACCATCTGGCACTGAAATTACAGTGACTCATGTCCATGAATCATAAAAAAATTTAATGTCCAAAAATTCACTGTGATACAAAGAGTTCTAACATAACACCTGTGCTCTTGCTCATGTGACACCTTTGTAAACAAGGTGACTGCCATGGAAGACACTCCATTGACTTTTATTTTTTCTGGTCCTGGGTTTGAATTTGGGCTGGGTACTGTCCCAGTTGAGCCAAAGTGCCACTTCTGGCCTTTTTATGTGGTACTAAGGAATTGAACCCCAGGGCTTCATGCATGCTAGGCCAGCACTCTACCACTAATCCACATTCCCAGCCCATCCCTGAGCATTTTTGCCCAAGGCTAGCACTTCTACCACTGGAGCCCCAGCTCCACTTTCAGCTTTTTGGTCTCCTGGACTTTTCCTGCTCAGACTGGCTTTGCCATCCTCCTCAGATCTTGGTCTCCTAAAGAGCTAAGGTGACAGGCATGAGCCACCAGTCCTCAGCTAGTTTCCTTATACAGCAAAGTAGAGACAAGCCTGAGTGAGCCTGGTTTAATCTTTTTAAGATGCAGTATTTTGTCTGGCTGGCTGTGGAAGAGGAAGTCAGAGAATTGTGAACGCTGGTGACCTGGACTGGAGGAAATAACCCTGCCGTGAATTGTGGGGCCATGTGTGGCATGGAGCTGTACAGCTGGCAGGAACATAGGCCTCAGCTCAGCAACCACAAGGAAATGAATTCTGCCCACAAGCAGCAGGAGCCCAACCTCTAATGGAAACCACAGCCCTGGCTGACACACTGAGTCCAGACAGCTGTTCTGGCCTTCAGGAACTGGGAGGAGTGTCTATGTGTGTCTTACTGTCTGCCTGTGTGCCTGTCTAGCAGAGAGCTTTCACTGGGATCTTTCTATCCATGCAGATGATGTACTTCATTCAAATTCACCTCCTCCCCAGGCACAGGTGGCTCATGCCTGTAATCCTGGCTAAGATCTGAGGATTATGGTTCAAAGCCAAGCCTGAGCAGGAAAGTCTGTGAGACTGATCTCCAATCAACAACTATAAAGCTACAAGTGGATCCGTGGCAGGATAGCACCCAGGCCCCTCGTTCAAACCCTACAACTAAACAAAACATTCACTCCATTGATGTGTGTCGTTTAAGCCATATATTGGTGACTGTTTTCCTTTTTTTTTTTTTTTGCCAGCCCCAGGGCTTGAACTCAGACACTGTCCCTGAGTTGATTTTTGCTCAAGGCTAGCACTCTACCACTTGAGCCTAAAAACCACTTCCAGCTTTTTCTGTTTACGTGGTACTGAACCCATGGCTTCATGAATGCTAGGCAAGCACTCTACCAGAAAGCCAACATTCCCAGCCCTTCTGTTTTTTGGGGGGTAGGGTGGCGTAGGTTTTTTGTTTGTTTGTGTCTCCCCCCACTCCAGCCCCCCAGTCGTGAGGCTTGAACTCTGGGCCTGATTGTTGTCTGTGAGCTCTTAAGCTCAAGGCAAGTACTCTACCATTTGAGCCCCCAAGCACCATTTCTAGTTTTCTATACATGCAGATGATGTACTTCATTCAAATTCACCTCCTCCCCAGGCTCTGGGACTTTCCTGCCCAGGCTGGCTTTAAACTATGATCCTCAGATCTCAGCTTCCTGAGAAGCTAGAACTACAGGGTGAGACATA